TTTGCTTCACCAATTACCAGAGGCCTCTTTCATTGAAGGGGCCTGCAGAATGCATGAAGATCCAGAAAAATACACAACACTTTTAGGCATGGATTTTGAAAGGCAATGAATTGAAATCAGATTATATTTGAATGAAGGCACATACAACACTTGATGCAAAATAATGTCTGGTGCAAGTATCACAGTACCAATTTTCACAACTTTTACTCTATAACCATTTGGTAAGGAAATTAACAAAGGACATGGAAGGTATGTGATGTTTGTTAGGACTGTTATATCAAAAGTCATATGGTGAGAGGCTCCTGAGTCAAGTATCCAAGATTCAGTATCATTGTGAGAACATCTGTAAGATAATTTCCCAAAAACAATTGAAGAAGTACATGCTATCATACCTGCAAAGTTCATACCACCATTGTCCATGTGTTTAGCATTATTTTTCTCAGCTTGGAATTGCTGCAACAGCTCCACAAATTGAACATATTGTTCCTTAGTTAGTTGATGAGTTGTATCTGCACGAGCTTCTCCATCATTTGCATCTCCAGAACAACCATGAACATCAGCCATAAGTCCCTTTCCTCTATTGAATCTAGAGTTCTGATTATTATCCCTGTACTCATTTTGATTATTGTTTCTCTGTGAATTGTTACTTGTCTGTAGGTAGCCATGTAGTTTGTAACATTTATCCCTGATATGTCCAGGCCTTTTGCAATAATCACATATCACACGAGGCCTGTTATTACCATATGAACCAGTTTGAGAGTAGTTGGTTCTGAAGTTAACATTATTGTTCCCTGTAGCGTTGTTACTTAACCTCAGTGATCTAGAAAAACTTGCTCCTCCTGAACTATTTGCATTGAAAATAATAGACTCCATAACCTTTTTTCCTGAACCACTTGCATTCAATGATGTAGATTCCATGAACATTTGAGCACTAGGCTTAATTTCTCTTTGCTTCTCATCCTGAATCAACAGAGAAAATGTTTGTGCCAAAGAAGGTAATGGATTCATCATGAGGATATTTCCTCGCACTACAGTATATACTTTATTCAACCCCATAAGAAATTGTATTAATCTTCTATCCTGCTCCACTTTATACATACTATCCTTGGCTCCACAAGTGCAGTTACAACTGCATTGAACTTTAATATGTAATGTACTCAACTCCTCCCACAATTTTTTCATCTTAGTGTAATAGGCAGTGACATCCAAAGTTCCCTGTGATAGCTCATTGATTTCACGTTGGATCTGATATAGCTTTGCACCATTAGTTTGATCATATCGATCCTCCAATTCTTTCCATAACTCGTATGAATCAAAAACATATTCTACACTTTCTGCTATCTCTTTATTTAAGGAATTAAGAATCCAGGAAGTAACCATGTCATCACACCTTTCCCATTGACGAAACTGTGGTGTTCCTGCATTAGGCCTCTTACAATCACCATTGATAAAGCCCAATTTGTTTTTAACCGACAGAACTCTTAGAACACTTCGTCTCCATGACCTGTAACCTATCCCATCAAAAGGATTTTGAACCAACGAAATACCAGGATTATCTGAAGGGTGCACATACAATGGTGACTAATATCAATGCTGTTAACACCACTGTTACCCACAGAACTCTCAGTCGAAGTTGAAACATTCTCAATCACCATGGCGAAAACTAGATTAATCGAGCACACAAAATATGAATTGATCCAGCAATTGATTTCAACAAGGAAAATATTGGAATAGGAAACAGAAACAGAATCCAATTTTTAGCCAGTAAATCGACACACCTGAGATGTATGTCAAAGAACAAAAGAAACGAGATCTAGAAAATGAACTCAGAAGGTGAGACAGACGAATTAGAATACCTCCTAGCTCTGATACCATGTTAAAACTTGTTCACCATTCATGCTTGAGCTTCCATGATCATAACAATGAAGTTAGAAAAAGGAAGAAGAAGAAGAAGAGAAACAGTTGCAGAATTGCAGTAACAGAATTGAGAGGAAAATGAAGAAAGTGTGATAAGTGAATTGAATCAACCACCTTGTATTGTATGGAGATCATGTATTTATACAAGAAGAGAATCAAAATATCTAACAAACTAGTGGACTGAAATAACAGAATTAGTTAACTAACTATTCTAACTAATTAATTGAAATGGCTGAGCTAACTAAACAATTATATATAATTAATTAACTAAATCTTAACAACTACTTGGTGGAAATGTAAAAACTACCAAAAATAACTTAGCTGGTAGGATTCATAGGCTTGAAGTTGCACAACGTGAAATGAAATACATTTAATTTGGACATAAAATGTAAAAATTTCGAGTTACTTAAATTTTCTATTCTTGATTATAGTTGTCAAATACCAACTATATGATGGTGCATGAACTAGAGAAGAATCAGACACTAAATAATTATTTCGATCAGCTTCGAATTCAATGGCAAATAGCTGAGTAATAGAAATGATATATATTCACAAGTCTTTGATGTATATTATTTGAATTCAATGTTCATATGCTTAGTGTCTTAATTAGTTAATTCTGAATTACGTAATTAACACAAGAACTGAAGGATCAATAATGTCGTGGAACATTGTTCTACTGTGATCATGTATATGAATTACTAATTAATAATAAATACTAGCTTATTAACATGTCTTTGGTTGGATTTGTTATTTTCAATGTGAAGTTTTCTTTTTTAATGATATGATATGACCACTAGCAATATTCGTTAAATACATGATTTTTCTAATTTGTGAAATGGCCAAATACCAACTTTGAAGGTTGAACCATGCATACATCAATTTTTATTTAGCATTTATAACTACATGAATTATTCTAACACATCACTCAAGTTTCACTTGTCAAATCCTATGGTGTATGCGCTATTTTAGCTAGAGAAAATATTATTTTCGTCGAAATACTCATATATTTATTAATTAAGAAGCGGTTCATATTTTATCTGCAATATAATATAAGATAATAGCTGAGTAACGCGTGTCATTTCAAAGTCTTTCAATGAAACAAGCAGGACCAATAAAATAATATATAGAAGTTAGATGAATGTATATTTATTTGGGCACGATGGAAGAAATTAAACTAACACAAATATATCGATTATAAGAAATACCACTTAAGTCCACTATAAAAAAAAACTCCTTGTTCATATCAAATCATCTACATGTTTGTGCTCTTTTTTGCTACAAAATAGGTTATAGATTTGATTGACCTTCCTCCTAACATGTCTAAGAGGCCGTCTGAACGGATATGTTGTTTGTACCTTCACTTCATTGATTATACAATTTGTATTAGATGAAATAAAATATGTATCTATATCAAATCCCATATCTTTAATTTGATGATGACGTTACTAATTCTGAGCAATGGTTTAACACAACTCTTTCTTGCAAATTTTGTGTAGTACTCTAGTTATTATGAGATAGATACCTAGAGTCATTATAATAATAAATGAAATGGTGACATGAGAGACAATCCACAAATTGTACAACAAAAATATGGTTTACAAAGATTTTGTATAAAACATGAGTGATTACTGATAAGACAAGCACCGAAAGATTAGACAAATACTGCTGCAAAATTAACAAGTCACATGATCCACCAATCATCCGTCGCCTCATACATACAAAAGTCCAACCAATTTGTGGTGCAAACTTCTCACAAACGTCACCCTCAAATAGTCTTTGCAGTATGTAATTTAAATTGAATCGAAGATTTAATATAGACTCCAAATATCAGATAATTAAAAAAGGTCACAAATCAACATATTATGAATGACCAATTCAAGAAAATTAAAACGAGCAGCAAACATCTCATTCACTATGTTGTGCGGAATTTGAGATAATACGAGAAAATATAAACGCGAAAAACAAGACAACAGATTTACGTGGTTCACCAATAAATTGGCTACGTCCACGGGAAGAGAGGGAGCAGTTTTATTATGGAGAGGCAAAAACAGAATTACAGAATAGAGTTTCCCATAGCGTCTATATATAGTGCTAAGCTACGCCCTAACAGCGAGACCCCGTCCTTTCTGTTTGTAGCGGGTCCGATTCAAGGCATTCAACACACTATATATACTTCTTAGCCTTAATTATTTTTGAATAAGTATTTGTTTATCAAATAAGATTAATATTTCCAATTTTAGACTTGAAAAATAAAATTTAAAAGCTTATAACGATTTAATTACTAATAAAAGTTTAGTGGCTATACCTTTATAGCTAGTAAGGTATGCACAAGCATTGTTGCAGAATGCAGACCACATGGTCATGGAGAAAAACACTTCACATTTAGATTTACGAGTATCGGAAAATTTATTTCACCTTCACCTATTGCATTCAAGTTTTTTTGTCATTTTGCTATCACAAGTAGTATAATTTGAAGGTTGTCAAAATCTTAAGAGCTACTGATTTATACTGTATATGTTACGTTAGCATGTGATACAAGGATGAAAAAAGGGCAGCTGAATTGAAGGTTTTTATTTGGACAGGCACTTCAAAAAAATAATTAGAACAAGTTTAAAGGCATGTATAACAACTGAATTTTATAACCACATAATATGATTTTAACAAATTTTTAATACTAATTTAGCTAATACCGGATAGATTTAAGTCTCCAAATTTTATTCCTAAAGATTTCTCTAGGATCAAAGGGGTGAAGCTTAGAGCCTATACTTTGGCTCAGGGGCGGAGCTACTGGGGTTCATTCGAACCTCTTTCGGCGAAAAATTATAATATTTATATATGGTTAAAATAAGTTTATATATATATATATATATAGAAGATGTCGGCTATCTATTTTTACAGATTTTGAATTCCCTTATTGCAAATTCTGGCTCCGCCTCTGCGGTTTGGCTACATCTTATTGGCCCTTTGGGCATCATCTGAGTCATAAAGACTGTAGGGGCAGGGTAAGACCCCATTCTTTGTAACCAAACAGCCCCTTGCCTTGAGGAATAATACTGGTTAAATTTTTGTTTGATTTTTATCACTTGCTTGTACCAGTCATATTTTTTGTTCTTTTTGTTGTATGCTTAGTCTATTCTTATGGAATCACACTAGAGTAGTGGCCCTGGCTTACTCTAGACAAAATAATCCAAATTAAAATTTTAATCGTGTACATTATTAATATGATGTGATATCATACGTTACCAGATACATATTTCCTACCATCTATAACACCATTTAGAATTAAGAATATATTTGCACAACCGATTCTTCAGTGGTGCAACTTGGATTTGCACCCATTTCCACTAAAAATAAAATGAGGCAAAAAAGGGGAAAAAAAAGTCATGCTAGCTACGGTTGAGCCACACGTTATATCATTTAATGGTTCACTCCTTTTCTTCTGCCTGTTGGTACATCTCACATGACCTTTAAAAAAATGTGTGAAAGGCGAATGAACACCATACATTTGAAATGTAATTTAGCACACATAAATTAATATACTACTAATATGTTAGGGATCAAATTACATGTTAATTATAAATTGAGTTTGAAAATGGAACTTACTGATTTTATTGACTCTCACCACAATATGAGGCTTGTCTAATTTGTCTCTTTATTAATGTATAGTATTGTCATAATTTTTTGAAATGAAATTAAACCCACAGGCCCCTTCCCTTTGATCACATTTTAATCTTCAATGAGGATCCGACCATTACATTTAAAAGAAGGAAGAAAATAATATTAAAAAAAAAGATAGTTTTGAACAAGTCAAGGATATAGTGAAGTACATACATACATTTATAGATAGGAGAGTCGGTGGTGATGGGGGAGTTGGCTTTGTAGTTTGTAGGTGATGGGTGGCATGGGGTAATAAATACAACGACGCCTCAAGGCCTCCTATTTTTTACTCACATTTATTATGATTTTTTACTCCATGCATCAAGCAAAAATAATTAAAAGTTCAAATTCTTCTAAATTAATTTGCATCACTTACTATGTCACTTGCATAACTATATAATACTCGTAATTTATGCATCATTTTACTATAGATTGACTTCTTGTGTATGAGTTTATACATGATGAAGGGACTAGCAGAAACACCTAAACATTGGTTGGAAAAAGAAAATAAATATTTTCTTTTCACAAGTCAGGTTTTTTTAATTTTGAATACCGTATATAGTTTATCAAAAGTAAAATAATTTAGTCATGCAGTATTTATCTTTTTTTGCTGATAAACAAAGTCACTTATTTTTATTTATACTAGTATTTAAAAATTCATTTAACAAAAGGCGCTTGATTTTTAATGTCAAAAAAATAAAATATATCAAAACCCAATCAGGTTGAAAAAGAATTCTTCGAACAGCAAATTACTTGACTTGGACTTTGTTACGAGTAATAACTAATGACCGGCGCTTTAGTGGAAGACTTGGCCTGAAATTGGAGCGGAGTGCCCTAATTTCTTTTCCATTAGTAACACACTAAGGAAGTAATAGTCAAATGAGTTCAATAATTTCTTTTTATCCAACTAAATCAAGTGGTAACCCCACTAAAAAAAAGTAGAACTTTCCTGCTTGAAATCATTTTTTGAGTCAAAAGTTTTAAATGACTTTTGTTCTTTAAATAAATAAAAGAGACTTATTTATTTCTATTTTTTTTTTGATGACTCGAACTCAAAATTGGTGATTAGTTTGAACAAGTAGGAATTGGGAATAAAATTATTTCCATTAGATAAAATGTAAGTATAATTTGATAGGTAAACGAAACTCATAATTCACTTCAATGATCATCATAATTAGATTGAGAATTTATGTAATAAAAGAAAAGATATTCGAAGAAAAAAATTAGCTATAAATAGGAGGGGGAGGGGCAATAGGAGAATAAAACAAAATATTAAAAGAGGTTCAACCACCAACAAACTTTTTCCCTTTCCCTTATTTTCAGAGTCTCTTCCGGGCAATGTTACTCCTCGAAATTTGCATGAACAAACCTAGCTAGTGGCATTGGGACTTTGAACTTTTTTTGATGTCATTTTGAAGAGCTCTATTTTTTCATTGTGGTGATAATGGGCGAAGCTGCAAGATCAAGCCTGATAGCAATGAACGAAGCCATTAGCTTCCTAGTTTTCATTATCCTGGACATTGTTGATTTTCTGCTGTGTTATACTTACAAAGTAGTTGATTTCCTAATTGAAGCAGAGTGGAAGCCCTGTTATTGCTCTTCCACTAAAGAAGCCCTAACGAGCAGCGGCTCAATCTTGGTCTCCGAACGAGGAGAATCCAAGATAGTGTGTCTCACTTGTTCGAGCAAATTACATCTCGAAGAAATTTCAGACACACTTTACACTCGGCCATCATTCCTGTCGGAGGTGTCAAAATTGAAACGCCGGAAATTTGACAATGCGGGTCTCCGTTCAACTTTCACTGTTAATAATTCCACCGTAGTGGAAGGCAAAATGGGTGCTCCTAATCTGACTACTCCTAGGTGGTCGGATTGTGATTGTAACACTTGTAATTCTTGCTGCAAAGATTCACTTTTTGTCCGAGTTGATGGTGCCAAAGGTAATATTAAGTTTAAAGTCTCTTTTTTTAAAAAAAAAATTAACACAATCCATTAATTAATTAATTTGACAGCAAACTTTGAAGAAGATGTACTCTTCCTTCATGGGTTCATTTCCTCATCAGCATTTTGGACAGAGACATTATTTCCAAACTTTTCCAAGGCAGCCAAATCAAAGTATCGTTTATTTGCAGTGGATCTGTTAGGATTTGGAAGGAGTCCAAAGCCAAGTGATTCACTTTACACAATAAGAGAGCATCTAGAGATGATTGAGAAATCAGTTATAGAGGGACACAGAGTGAAATCTTTCCACATTGTGGCACATTCATTAGGTTGTATTTTGGCTCTAGCACTAGCTGTAAAATATCCTGGATCAGTCAAATCCCTCACTTTAATTGCACCGGTAAGGGGAGATAATTAAGATTTTTCAACACACAAATTTAATAGTGGATGACCTATATATATGTTGTTATACTCCAGCCATATTTTCCAACACCAAAGGGTGAACAGCCGACGCAACATATGATGAGAAGAATAGCACCAAGGCGGGTGTGGCCACCCATAGCTTTTGGCGCGTCCATAGCATGTGGGTATGAACACATAAGCAGAAGTGTTTGCCTTGTCATATGCAAGAACCATCGGTTGTGGGAGTTTCTCACAAAACTTGTTACCAGAAACAGGTCCGTATAATTTTCAAACACCACATTTAATTCTCAAATGACAATAACTAGTTTTTCTCACATAACATCTTTGCACTCTCTCTCTCTCTCTCTCTCTATATATATATATATAGAATTTAGCATTATTACAACATGTAGTATTTGCCACGAACCTTGCTTATGATATTATTCTTAACAAAATTTCTCTTGCGTTCCCTTGATTAGACAGACAACCCCCCTTAATTATGTAGGATTTAGTTTACTAAACTAATAGTAATATATTTTTTATTGTCTCAGGACTAGCTAGTTGATGTGAACTTACGATACTTGTAGTATTTGCCTAGACTCCCCGTGTCAATTAGGCCAACAAATGCATATTTACTCATCTTAATGAAATAACACAATTAAACTACTTTGTCATACTCCCTTAGCTTGACTTCATGGTCCACCTTATTTCTTTTTATTCTTTTTTAGGTTCTATTTAATTTAGGCACATGGAACACCAAGTAGTTTTATCTTCTCTTCATTTTAGGTTATATGGTTGAGATATGCATCTACCCAAGAATAATCAAATCTATGTATTAACCAAATAGGCAAGTGGAGGATTAAAGAGAATTCAATTCGAAAAGAGAGAGAAGTAGTAAAGGTGCCCTTAAATATTTGCATTTAAACGGCGCTAGCTCTTCATGAACTTTGATGTAATAAATGATTTTTGTGTTTCTTTAATTCAAACACCAACCCACCAACTGCTCCAACCTTTTCTGTTTAATTTTACGAGTATCGATCGTTTTATGGCATTATTGTTCAATACTCTGCTAGAGTAGCACCTTTTCTTTTGTTGTTTCTCATCAGTTTATTTCAAAAATAAACAGTTGGGTATGTTACTTAAAAAAGAGTGAATTCTTAGCAGAAGGATACGTATACATTAAATAGTCAAATAGAAATTAGTAAACGACACCACAACATATATTATTATTATTTTTTCTTGTTTAGCAAATTAAATCTAAAAAGAATAATATATATATATATATATATACAGGATTAGGACATACTTAATAGAGGGATTTTGCTGCCACACACACAACGCAGCATGGCATACACTACACAACATCATATGTGGTACTGCTGGAAAAATAGAAGGATACTTAGAGATGGTGAAAAACAAGCTAAAATGTGAAGTGACAGTGTTCCACGGTGAAGATGACGAACTTATTCCGGTTGAATGCAGCTTTAATGTACAGTCAAGAATACCTCGTGCACACGTTAAAGTTATCCAGAAAAAAGATCACATCACCATTGTTGTTGGAAGACAGAAATCATTCGCAACAGAACTTGAACAAATATGGAATAATGCAAAATTGTGAATTCCCCACCAATCAATCATTTCTAGTAAAACAAACAAAATATTTTTATCCTTTAAAAAAACTGATCGATCTCATTTCTATGTCGCTCAATTATGTATACGTCCTCTAGTTTAAATATTAATTATTGGGATATGAAAACATCTTTTCTATGATCAAACATCATTATTAAATATATATATATATATATGGTCGAAAGCTTTATATTTACTTTTTTCTTTACATTTAATTTATTGTTCAAACACCTACCTTGCTACTCTTTTGCACAAGGACTTGAGTTAGGTAACAAGATTTGACAAAATTAGACATCTTAAAGTATTTTTGAGTATTTTGTTTACGGAACCCTAGGCATAGAATTGTATATAATAGTTAAACAAGAGAATTCGATTTATATCTATACTAAATACTATATAGATTAACACTTCATTTCAAATTAAGACTAACTTTAGAGATATGGTAAACTATGAATAACAAGGGAGTATACAAGCATTGCATGATTGTTGGGAAAAATTGAATGCGCGCTGCCAACCATAAATAACAGCGGAGACAATACTATTGGAGTCCACCTGTCACCTAATAATATAATAAACAACGTAAATCATTTTAAATTAGTGGACCAAAGTGTTACTAATAAATAGTGTAGGGACTCATCAGAGATGCTGCTCATTGGCAGACCACCAAATATATATCATACAATCCAACTAATTAATTTCCTTCCTTTCATTTTAATTGACTTCTATAGTTAAATTTATTTAATCAATAAAATTTTATCATCATTTTTTTTGGAAGTTTTGTGTCAAATATCGAGATTCGAGGGAGTAGATCGTTAAATGGAGAAGATGATTTAAGATACGTTCCTCCGTTTTTAAGAAAAATAATCTTATTTTTTTAGTTTGTTTGAAAAAGAATGATCCTTTTTATTTTTTGACAACACTTTAACTTTAATTTTAACTTTTTCGTGTGGTATTATTAAGACCACAAGATTAAAGGACATTTTGATACATTTGAAATAACATTAATTTAGAACCACAAAATTAAAAAGTTTTTTCTCTTTTCTTAAACTCCGTTCCAAATTAAATTAAGTCAATTTTTATTTTTTTTAAAACGGAGGAGTAATAGTATTGGAATTGATTGAAAGCTAAATAGTGAAGGTGAGCAGAGTACAGGAAGCAAATTAAAGTTGCAGACTTGTCCTCTATATTTTACTTACAAATGGAAAAAATATAATGGAAGGAAGGTCTCTTTCTGCTCATTGTAGGGTTTCCATTTAAGATGAATAAATAAATAATGTTTGTCCCTTATGTGGTTTTCATGTAGGTTCAAACAGAGTTCAAATAAAATAAATGGCCAAAGTCATATGCGGCCACTCAAACTTGTCCCGATTATTCACTTAGACACCTTAACTAAACGTACTACCTATTGAACATCTTAACCACCCCGATTTGAACCGTTAAGCCATTTTTTGCCTACATGGCAAATCGTTTGTGATTCACGCAAATGGAGCGCGTGAATTTATTTTTTTCTCATTTTTTACACTGCCTACATGGCAGCAACGGTAACATTGCACTTCAATGTTAAAGTTGAAGTGAAATCCCCAATTCTCTTCCCCAAAATCATCTTCCCCAATTAGTTGAAGTGAAATTCCCAATTCTCTTCCCCAAAATCATCTTTCCCAATTTCTCTTCCCCAAAATCCATTTAGAACCCTAAATCTCCAATTCTCTCTTCTACTACTAAATCTCCAAGTTTCTCTCTTCTTCTCTAAATATCCAAGTTTCTCTCTTCTTCTATAAATCAATTCTCTTTTATCAAATGTCGCAAATTTCAGTAAATATCGATGAAGTTGATATATGCAAGTGTGGTTATTATTGTCGACTGAAAACTTCGAGGACTCCTTTGAACCCAGGTCGTCGATTTTTTGGATGCAAATCATCAAAGGCTTATTACTTTTCAAACAAAAACTGTTCTTGTTGTACTATTTCAAAAATCAATATTTTGGTATATTTATTACGTCTTACTACTGTTATATGGTTTGTAGGAAAATGGTGGATGTGGATATTTTAGATGGATCGATCCGCCGCTTGAAAATGTTGATGAATCATCCTCAATGAATAGACTCATAGACGGTCAAAATCCGATTGATCGACTAAAGAGAAAAGTGAAAGAACTTGAAGAAGAAAAAGATTCTTTGAAATTTCAATTGAATGAAAGTGAAGTGAAATTGATGGTATTGAACAAGAAGCTTAAGGAAGTTAAACTCCAAAGGGATTGGGAAAATGTCAAATTTAATCGAATTGTGATTGTTTTTCTTTGTCTACTAACTATTAAATGGTTCTTTAATATTCTGTAGTTGATAGTAGTTCAGGATTGTAATACTTAATTGTTTAGTTTTGCAGTAGTTAGGTAGTTATTCTAGATCAATTAGTGATGTTTTAATTGGTATATGTCCTTAATATTTTGTATCAAATTGGAAGTTTGAGTTGAATTGATCACTTGCCATGTGTTTTGAATTTTTTTTCTGGAATTGAATTGATTAGTACTCTTATTGACAAAAACAAAAGGCATGCTTTGAAAGGTAGTGTAGTTGTTATTCAAAAAGTAAGTTAATAACACAAATGCATTACTTAAAAATACATAACACACAGTAAGTAATGGAAATACATAACACAAATGCATTGAGAGGTAATAGAAAACCATTGTCTTACAATAGGCATAGTCTTGCTAACAGAAATACAATGTTCAAAAATACATTAGACAAGTGTTCAAATAAACCAAAGAGTAAATTGTTTTCAAATAGACACCAACTTCCCAAATGAACTACTTCCAGTTTTTCTTTTTAGCTTTCATTTGTTGTAACTGTGAGGTGCTGACTGCATCTTTTCCCTTCCATTTTAGGTCACGGGGTTTAAAACCAATGTCTATATTGGTTGGTGAAGCACTCTTCAATGTTGTTGGCCCATGTAGAATCTTCTCACTTGATGTACCAGGCTGCAATATAAGATAGAAAGTTTAACATAATGTTAGATTATAATATGGCTATAAAATATACACTAAAATAGGTAAACATGTTAAGTGAACATACATTTAATACTTGGGCTCCAGTTGTAGGATTAGAGTAAACACCAAAACCAGTTGCAGGCCTTCTGTTTTCTCCAGTAGCAGCAGCAAATGAGGCAGAACTGTATGGTCTCTTGTGACCTGATAAAGGTGGCAATTCACTAGAAGAACTATCCCTTTCTGTAACAAATGGAGTTCCTCTTGCATTAGCTTTTTTTCTTCCCAATCCTCTTTCAGTTCCAACTTGAACCATATTTTGAGCAGGTCTTGGCACAGATGTTGTGTCAGCACAAATAGAAGTTGTTTGACTTGATTGTGTAGTTGCATATGTGGTTCTGGAAATAGAATGTGATGGACCTCCCATTGTAGACTATATAACATAAATAAGGATATATGAAAACTTGTACAACAAACTTAAAATGCAAATGAATTTTTAAAGGATAGCCATTATCTAATCTTACTGTTGTTTGGGTAGTTCTTGGCACAGTTCTTGGCACAGCACTGGTATCAGGACAAACAGAACTTCGTGTTCTAACCTGTTGAACAAAAATAAGTACATATGAATAACTGTCTAAATGAAAATTAAGGCAAATGAATATGTAAAGCAAATCTTACTCTTGTTTGAGAATAACTTTGTTGGCTGTTTCCTTGACTTGTAGGTTGAGAATTGCTCCCCCTCCCATACTATGTCACCACAAAATAAAACATATGATTATAAACTTTAAGCAATTTACAAATGTGAATATGACTAGTATTACTTACTCTTGCACACACAGCTTTGTTATGACCAGTTTTCTTGCAAATGGAACATGTCATCTTTACTCCTTTTCTGGAAATTTCCCCCCATTTTTTGGGCTCATCCTTGCTCTTTCTTCTCTTCTTGGCAGGTCTACCTGGCATTTTTCTTGGTTTTGGAGGCTCTATTGATGGATTGGTAGTTTTAGGCCACATTCTCATATTGGGTATTGGTTGGATGAAATGATTGTAAGCCTTGAGAAATGTTTCCTTCATATACTAGTGCTCTACATGTTGATCAGGATCTTGATTCAAGTAATAATAAACACAAATAGCATGAGGGCAAGGAATACCTCTCAACATCCACAACCTACAGTCACAATGCTTCTTCTCCAAGTCAACAACAAATGAGTATTCCCCATCATTAATCTCAAAACCATTCACCCCATTCCATTGAACATTACAGTTCTTTGAATACTCCTTGTTTCTTTCTAGTATTGCCCTTGCCATAGGTGCAATGTCTGATATCCATGTTTCAGCAAATTTGATCATGTCTATGTGTCTATTCATCATTTTATGCCTAATATCCTCTAGCATGGTAATAATTGATTTATGTCTAGCAGCTAAGATCCAGGAATTGAAAGTCTCACACATGTTATTTTCTACAACATCACACTTGGAATGAGTTTGAAAAAAAGCTCTACACCAATTTATGGGATCATAATGTAATAAGTCCTCTGTTATTTCCTTCTTACCTAGCTTAGACATTGCATGAACTTCTTCACCAAACTTGACTTCAAAAGAGGCCTTTGAGCATCTCCAAAACTGTTTCCTTCTTTCTTCTCCTTTCCAGTTAACATGCCAATTACTCCATATATGTCTAGCACACATTCTTTTCTCAGCATTTGGTAACAACTCCAACAATACAGGAATAAGTCCCTAACAAAAAGTATATACAGAATAAGTAATTGGAGTAGTAAAACTAAACTAAAAAAAAGAAGAAATTGTATAAACAATACCTTTTGCATATCTGACATCACAGTCAAACCTTCACCAGTTCCGAAGTTTAGATCAGCAATTAAATAACTTATGAACCAGCTCCAACTATGTTTTGTTTCTGTATCCACAACAGCCCAGGCAATGGGATACATTTGATTGTTCTCATTCTTTCCAACAGCAACTAATAATTCACCCTTACAAGCTCCTTTGAGAAAACAACCATCAGATCCAATTATATTCCTACACCCCTCCAACCATCCTTGCTTAAATGCATGAAAGCATACATAAAAATACACAAAAAGGTTCTTCCCTGGTTCAGTTTCCTTATCAATTTTTACCCAACAAGAGCTTCCAGGATTGGTTTGTTTGATCACATCTGCATAGTCACATAATATGACAAATTCCAGATTCCAATCACCCATGTCTTCTCTCATAATTTTCTGTTTAGCCCTGTAACAAAGAGTCTTACCAACATAAAGACCCAATGTCTTTCTAACCAAATCTTGAATTTCCCAAATCCTTATGTATGGTTGAGATATAATTCTGTCCTTAAACTTTCTAGCAATAAACTTTGAATTACACAACTTATTTCTGTTTAATGGAATACACTTGTGAATAGGATTATAGTTCTTTACAATAAAATCACCTGAGTCTCTGTCAATTGAAGCATATAACAACCACTTACACTTAACATTTTTGCACTTCACCCTCACTCTATGTTTTTCATTAGGTCTTAGTTTTAACTGTCTTCTATACTCTACAGCATAATCTGCCACTCCTTTCCTGAACTGATCTGCCCCTTCAAAGACTATTCCAAGCTCAAAAATTGACACTTCACTATCTTCATCATACCTAACCTTTCTGCTTCTCCTTCTAGCAGGTATGTCTACTCCCCTAACAGCATCCACATCTAGTTGTTCATCACTATCATCACTCCAACAGTCGGAGCTATCAATGTAATCTTCATCTCCACCCAATTTTCCAGCATATTTGTCAGTTTTGTTCTTTCCAATATCCTCAAAACCTCTATCTATACCACCAGCTTCTCCAACTGGTATTTCTTCAAATTCAGCAGCCTTTTTTCTCTGTTTTTTGTTTCTTCTTTCTTCTCTAAATGCTCTTAGCTCCTCATCAATATCTGAACCATCTTCTGAAGGTATATCTAAATCTGAATCACTACTCAAGAAATCAGATGCATCTTCTCCACCTAGGTTATCATCCACTTCCTCTCCACCTAGGCTAACATGCTCACCCTCACCACCCTCACCAGTAAGGTTAGCAGCTTCACCCTCACCACCCTCACCACTAAGGTTACAAGCCTCACCTTCTTCACTTAAGTTAACTGTCTCACCATCTTCACCATTAGTTAGATATCCTATGGTTACCTCAGTGTCAAGTAAGGGTTTATCTAATACATGACAGACATATACTTCAAAAGTGTCCTCATGTTTTAAGTCTTTAATAAGGTGTAGTAAATGTTGGTCAGTTGTAATTAGGATCCATTTTTTTCGATAAGTCTTTTACATAAAAGCCTCCAACAGTTTCATACCCTAATTCTTTAGTATAATACAATAGTTCCAAAATGGAAAAGTGGTCCTTGATGATATACCTTAGTGCAGACACACAGTTTCCAACATAAGTAGGGACAGCCGATAACTCAGACAAGATTCCACCATGGTAAATCTTCGTAAATATGATTTCCTCCATGGTCAATTGTTAGCAGCCCTCTACAAAATATCAAGCAAACCCTAGATTTAACGGAATATACTCATACAAACAACTAAAAAACAAAGCTTTAAATCATACTTTTGGGTAATAGTAAAGAATAGACAGAATATTCGCAAAACCCTACATTTTTACAAAACCACAACTTTATGAAATTCATATAAGAAAGCATGTAAAGAAACAAAAATTAAACTTACAGGAGGATAGATCGTAACACGAAGAAGAGGAATCAAACAAAATCGAACAAGGAACTGGAATGAATCGCGAGATGGAGAGCTTGAGATCAAAAGAAAGTGTGAAGTTAGAGAGAGAGAGAGAGAGAAAGAGATTTGTTCTGTGAAAGTTAACGATTTGGGAATTTTTCCAAATTTAGGCATTAACAAATACACGTGGGAATTTTTAAATGGTCATTCAATACACGTCAGATACACGTGGGGCGGTTAACTACACGCGCCACATAATTAATGAAAAGTGATTAAAAAATGGTTTTACGGTTCAAATCTGGGGTGGTTAAGGTGTTCAATAGGTAGTACGTCTAGTTGAGGTGTCTAAGTGAATAATCGGGACAAGTTTGAGTGGCCGCATATGACTTTGGCCAAAATAAATTGTGTACTTTAAACCTCTTTTTTAGGTACTGACATCAGATTTTATTCATTCTCAAGTTAAGATGCCACGCAATATATGTATGTACATTTTATAAAAATCTGAATTAAAATAATTCGACAATTTAGGTTGAAACAAGGAGAATTTGTTACTCAATAGGAGAAAGTGTATTTGAATAGAGAGTTGTTCGACCTACAGAGATCACAAGTTGAGTACTAGTTTGAGTTTCCAATTTAAGGCAGCAAATTAGAAGAATAAAAAGACTAATTAATTTACTCAATTAATTATATGTATAAAAAATTAAAATAAAATTAGGACATTAATTAGTGAAGTTGAAGAGAAAAATTCCATAATAATAATTGATATATATATATAGAGAAGCTTCTTTATATGATTGTGGTTGAACGGGTTGGAAATTAGTGATAGTATTCATTGTAAAACTACAACATGTAAGGCTGTTGGCTAACCAGCGGAAACAATGAGGCACGCAATCTTATTAATTAACACTTTTTGTTTTGCTTTCGCTATATTTGTATACTGATATACATAGACTTACGCGGATCTAGAATTGGATTTTAATTTAAGTACTGATTAATCAATTATTCATTTCAGTAAATCAATTATTCATTTCAGTAAATGATCAGTTTATAGTTCAGTATTTTTTTTTGAAATCGTGTTTATTTGAAACAATAACTATTAGATATTTAAGTCGATAGAAACGTATAAGTCTGCTTACACTGTCAAGAAGCAGGACCATTGGTAGGTTTTTTAGTATTTATGGCAACTCGATCGTTTCAGGTTGTTATATATACATGGTTACTGTTTACTCTTTTTTTTCCCCATGAACTAATAAATACTACATAAAAATAACTAAATCAAAGGAGATACAAGTTTATGACTAAAAAAAATAGTTGTAATTACTTGGCGAAGAAGAAAAATAGGAGTACATATGAAATGTTGGGTCGAACCAAAGAAATATGGGTGGGCCGATCAGATAGAGTATATTGGGCTTTTCCTCCTAAACCTAAACCCAAGAAATTTGCCCTTGTCTACGTCTCTTTTTGGGCTACACATTAATGACTAGTATACATTTAGATTCAAAGTCTCTTCTTGCCTTAAACATCTATTGTATACGTACAACTTACGACTAAGTTGGAATAAAGAAACTTAAGTATATATTATATGTTTCCACTATAAAAATACTCTCAAGATTAACACTCCAAAATTGCTATAATGTGGCAAGCTATGTGAGACTAATCACTCCACCTAAGCGTTTCACTTCAAAAAAGTTACTCTCAGCGACGAAAGTCGATACTAATGGTTTTATGATTTTTAGCATTAAATTTTGATTTTGTGTTATTTCTTCAATAAAAAAAATCAAAATTGAAATCGATCAAGAAGGAGTTTGAAGAAACTATATGTTTTTACTTTTTATATGTAAATGCATAAAATGTACAATGATGCATTATATAGTAGGAGATTTGAATTAAGAAATAAATTTGATGATTTTCATAATAATATTGGATGTTTTTAATATTAAAAAGTGCATGTTATTTATTTTAGAAAATTAGATTGCAATTAAAAAATTAATTATCATACTTTTTATTGAAAAAATAAATTTTACTGGCGAATGGTTGTTGCAAACTTTAGTCACCACTAAAAATTATTCTAATCCTTTAGTGTCAATATTTAGCGATTTCGTGGCGACTTTTATCATCGAAAAAAGTCTAGTTATTTCGTGGTAAATTCTAGTTGGCAACACTTAGATAAAGGAATCAATCTCATGTGGCTTGCCATGTCACTAACAATTTCGATAGTTCTCTAAAGTATATTTATGATCTCTTGAAATAACAATAAAATATTTTCCAACACAAAATATAATAATTAGTATATGTAATATATTTCACATAATTTAGACATATATTGAACCTTTCTTCGTTTAATATATTATAGTACTGACATATTTTAGTGGACTAGTAAAGACTAAAGATGTTGGGTTCGTGTTCTCCATAAATGGTCCTGAAGTGCTAAAGGGATGGATTTGCCCGCTGCACCATTTCCAAATCTTATTTTTTGAAAAATACATTGTTGCAAAATTACATTCTTCCTTCTTAAAATTTATTTTATATCAATAGAATCACTCAATTTATATAAACATACTGAGATTCAATCCCGATTTGGCTGGAAGAACTTGAACCCCCTCAACTATTCGGCCAAGCTTTAAACTTTTGTTAGTGGAGTCAAAATTATATATATATATATATATATATATATATATATAAATTTTAAAAACTGATTAAATATACATGTATATACGATGTTATTTTTCAACAAAAATGAATCGACTTGCACCACTGTAGGTCGGCCCCTGCTTCCAAGTGGATTTGAATGAACATTGTTAATTATCCAAAGTAATTGGATCATCAAATACAACTCAATCTCCGGAATATATATTAATTTTGACCAGCCAATGTCACACAAATTCCTCTGCTAGCTGGAGCTCCCACTAGGGCTGATGTTGCCTTTTTGACATTCACCATGGAAGTAAGAATTTAAGGTTTTCCATGAATCTACTACACACAGGTCTCGTAAGGAAAAGGAGCAATAATATGGCTATGGAACTGGATCTTTTAGATGCCATTTTGACCAAAAAAAAAAAAGAAAGATGTAAAAATACAAGTACTAGTTGGAGCTGGTCAATGAATTAGTTCATGAAATGATCATTGGGTGGTTAGTTTAGTCTAATCTGTAAGGACAGAATTTGAAAATGACAAAAAAAAGTTGAAATGCACTGAGGGAGTAGTACTGATCAATAAAGAGAAAGAAACAGCACCCCGTCATGTAAAAAAAAAAACTGATTTGAACTTTACAAAGGTTTGTCAACTGGCTTCGTGAAGTCTAAAATAAGCTAATTAGAGATGTTTGGTCTAAATAAACATTGAAAAGGAAAAAAAACAAATTAAGTAGCTTTAACTTAAAAGTAGTAGATTATATTTGATACAACATTCACCTGATCAATAAGAAGACGTACGATATATATATATATATATGTGTGTGTGTCCTTCATATATATTAGAAACACTTGATATGACAATGAAATTATAGTATACGAGTAATATTTATATATCAAATGAAATGTAAGCTAAGCAAAACTTAACTTTGTGAGGATAACAGATTTGATGGCTTCTTCATTAGTGACATTATGAGGAACCCTAATGACAACATCTTGTTGCATCATCTCCTTCATACTTGAAACGGTTGCATGGTGAATCTGAAACTCTAACTCTCGTAAAACGTTCATCAATCTCGCACATGGATAGTTCACATTCGGTGAACGCACCCGAATCATAGCTTCAACTCCAATAATTTTCACCTCCACCTCCATTCCGTCCACGAACGATGAATTAATATTAATATTAATATTCGTACCATCAACTACTGCAGATGATGATACGCAGTTTCTCTTCTGAATTAATTTTTTAGTTGACACCTCAATTTTAGCCTTGAGTTCTTCCACTTTGGCTTTGAGCTCATTAATATAAGTAACCGCATCAGCTAACAAAGAAGCTTTGTCCATTTTAGACACGTTAGGGACCACACTCCTTAGAGCATAGAACCGATGATTCAGCTTTTCCCGTCTCTGCCTTTCTGCTTCAACATGATTTTTCGCTGTTGTGGATTTTCTTGCTCGTTTTTTAGGTGAATCCTTATTCATAGCCGAAGACTCATCCGAATTTCCTGAATCGGACCCCATAGTTATTGTTTTCGTATCCATAGGATCTCCTAAAGGAACAAAATTAAAACCATGATCATTAATTTGTCCAAATAATGACTTTATTAATTGGACTAATTCCAAATTTTCTTGGATAACTTGAGAGGAACCCAATTCAACAACACCATGAGGAGTAGAAATACAAAGCAGAGTCCGAATACCGTGCAAGTGAGCTTCTTTAGCTCTATCGTAATTATAAATTTGTAATTCGTAGTAATTATTAAGCCAAACATAGGAACCAGAATTATAAGCGTGGACGATTAGGTCGTCCTCCGACAAAAAACAATTTGGCGCTGACACCGCATAAAACATTTCCATATCGCTAACATTAGCGTTATGGACTTTGGCCAGCGCTAAATCGCGGAAATGGCCGTCCCCCCACGAGAAAATAAGACGACCATTTGCGTCTTTCGACGCTTGCCAAAATATGCCATAAACCCACCATTCTTGACGATTGTGGATTATATAATGAAGGCGCTTTTGAAGTAGTGAAGTTGAAGAAAAAGAAGAAGAAGTTGAGATGAAGTCTTGCATTATTATTATGATTATTTCAAGTTCCAGAGATGAAACAATACTATATTTCTTCTTTTGTGTGAAAGTGCAATATCTCATGCTAATATAAAATATCAGAGACTTTTTATATAAGATCTAAAAATGTGGTGTCATTTTTCACGTGTTGTAATTTATAGACTTCAATTTTAACAAACAACGTAAGTAGCTAGGATTATTGACCTAACCGAGGTAAAGAAAGAAATTATGTGATGAAATGATTTGAGTGAGTTCATATTACATATCCATGGTGGACCCTCAATGAATGGACGGTTCAATGACCATCTCTATTTGTTCTCATTCATTCATTCCAAATATAAGATTGAAAAATACCTACGCTTTCTAAATACACTATAATGCCATTTCTTTTAGTTTCTCCTCTCTATTTTCTAATACTTGGACTGTCATGATAAGTTTACTTTAAGAAAAGTCAAATTTTTAAAAATTTACAGCAGATATAATTGACGTTTCAAAAGCAACCGATCATAATTAACGTTTTCTCTTGTTTTACACTTTAAAAAATAGGTTTTATGTTAGGATTAATTGTCAGGAGATCCGTGGGATAAAAATAAAAATTCTAGATTTATAATTATATTATATATAGTCATAATAAAAAAAATACGAGATAATTAATAAATTATAAATATATAAAAAAACAAATAATGAAATCAAAATTATGTATTAATCGTTTGGACTTTGGAGAGTTGAGTTTTAGCTATATTAATTTAGTTCATCTTAGTTTAAGTAACTTTTAGTCGAGTTAATGAAATCCATTTGTTACACAGCCATTTTAATCACCTCAATTAATACAACTCAATTGCTTAATTATTTGACACTTTTTAATTCTAATTAATCTACCTATAACTATTTAGAACGTAACCCATATATTGGATATTTAATGCCTGGGGCCAGCTGTTATATAAAGGAAGGCTGCGGAACCTTGTCAAATTGAGAATCAATAATCTTGTCAAATGTTGTCTGTCTACAAATTTAGCAAATTTGTTTAACGTGCCGTAGGTTCAAATGGACGTACCGTTATTAAGAGAACGACATCATACAATCAATTGCAACGAACCTCTCACCATTTTTTATATTTTGAGATTTCCAGGAGCTCATACGTACGTTGGAAGATTTTTTCTTATTATTCATAATTGTCAGAAATCAAATCCACTTAATTTAGATAAAGATAAATATTTATACTCATTTAGTTAAATAATCCGATGAAGTGATGGTTAAGTGTTCATTGACTATATACAAAATATATATCATGTATTTATTGATTTGATATAAAAATTAAGTAGAAATACGTTTTAATTTCAAGTTTTCATTAAGTCTTAAAGGCCTATTAAGATAAATACAACAATTTTAATAGTTATTATTTATTGTACTTACTCTTATATAAGTCAATGTGTATGATTAAAATAAAACTTTTCTGTGTTATCTTCTCAATGGAATTAATTTAGGGTTTAAATTATGGTATAGGAAGTTGATCTAGTATATCGTGATAATTACCCCCGACCAATACAATTACAATCTCAATCTTTGTTTTTTAAAGTATTTGTGGCAGGACTAAAATGATTAGGTGTCATGTTAAAGCTAATAAATCAAAAGTCGAAAGATTATGAGTAAATAAATAAATGAAAAATATATTAAAAAACACAAAGATTTAATGTGGTTTGATCAAACAGCTAACGTTTACGCACTATAATTCACTATATAAACGAATACAAAATATAGAATAAAATAACCCCAATCAATTTTCTCAGATTACATGATAGGTTTACACAAGTAATAATGTATCAAACTTGTGTACCACAAATTCCTCTCCTAACTAAGACTCTCAAATCCTCTAGGACTATATATTGTGAATGTTGATTAAGTTAGAATGAAAAATTCTATAGCTAGATATTTTTCTACTATAAAAAGACTAGTCAATCCAAATTTACTTTTTTTTTATACAAAAAACAAACTATTTATGATAAAAAAAAAAAATTAAGTGCAAGTAAAACCCAAACAATATGCTTCATCTGCTTACAAAAAAATTGCAAGTTCTCGTAATTATAAATCACACACAATTAGTTTAGATAAACATGTTTTTTACTGATAAAAGAAAAACCCTTTTAAGATTTTATCATATATATACCAAATTAATTACAAATGCAACGAACCTGTCAACTACAACAGAAATAATTTTCTGTTTCATGTCAACTACATGAACAAAAATAAAATATCAGTATCAATTTTTCTGAGTAAACAATCCAATAGACTCCATTTTTCTGTAATTTGTCAAGTTGCATTTGTCATGCATAATCACATGGACATCATTACCATTAATTTGAAAGACTGTTTTTATTTTGTTAATTTTTTTAAAAGAAAAAGACGTATCTTTCTGGATCACCTCCAAGTCAATTACTTCTCTAATACTATGGATCTGAATTTTTTAAAATGAATATAATTAGAATTTTAGCGATAAAAAGAATTCAATCCCTTAGTTGCACATTTGCATCTCTTGAAAATCGCAGTAAATGAAATTGATGATATCCTTTTACTTTTTAAATTATAATTCAATTCAATAATGACCGAAGGAAATGGATACACATCTCAATTGTTTGATTTCCATCAACTTCTTGTGCATTTAATACATTTGTGTAGTACCAAACTTGTTTCTTTTACCATTAAATAGGTAATTTTCGCATAGCAAACAAAAAATTTATATTTGTATGCTATAACAAAGTTTACATAATTGCGCTTCATAGCAAACATATAACTGTATAATTCGCTATACATATACAGACCTAAATTATATAGTTCGCTATACATATACAATTGTATGATTCGCTGGCCTAAATTGTATAATTCGCTGGCCTATTTCGCTCCAATTATATAATTCGATTACACTGCAATTGTATAATTCGCTGGGCTATTTCACTACAATTCTATAATGCGTTGGCCTATTTTTCTGCAATATGTGTAAAAAATTTACTTTGCAAACAATTGAATTGAAGTAAAATGTTTGTATATTGTATAATTATAAGTGTATAGGAAGAAGATATATGTTTTTCTCTCGCTTTATACAAAAACAGAAACACAATTTATACACTTCTGTTATATAAAGCGAGAGAAAATTGTATTTCAATGCAATTGTATAATTTGTTGGACTTTTTTGCTGCAATATTTGTATAACATTTGCATTTGTATACAATTGAATCGAAGTAAAATGTTTGTAAATTGTATAATTAAGTGTATGGCACGAAGATATATGTTTTTGCATGTGTATATACAATTTTCTCTCGCTTTATACAAAACAGAAACACAATTTATACACTTCTATTGTATAAAGCGAGAGAGGCGAGCAGAGGAAGAGTGGAGAGTGAGTATGAGAGAGTGGCGAGCGAGAGTTTTGGGAGAGAGGCGACTGACAAACTTTGACAAACGTTTGCTATGGGGCACAATTAAATTAAACAGTAGCTACTTTACTTATTTTAGATCATTAGTTTGTTATTATATACAATTATCCCTTAAATTAATCAATATTATGCCTTGCTAATCCGATCAAATCTACATCAAACCTCTTTATTCCTATTCGATTAACTTAATTGACTTTTATAATAATAAGGGATAATGCCTAAGTATCCCCTCAACCTATGCCCGAAATCCCAGAGACACACATATACTATACTAATGTCCTATTACCTCCCTGGACTTATTTTATTAATAATTTTTTATCCTTTTTCGGCCTACGTGGCACTATCTTGTGGACCCAACGATGGTTGACTTTTTTTTTCAAACTAGTGCCACGTAGGCTAAAAAGGGGTAGAAAATTATTAATAAAATAAGTTCAAGGGTAATAGGACCTTAGTATAGTATAAGTGTGTCTCTGGGATTTCGGGCATAGGTTGAAGGCATACTTGTGCATTATTCCTAATAATAATAATAATAGCTGCAATTGTAATTTAAAAAGTAGTACTAGTTGTAAAGAAGTCTACTATCAATCAATTTAAATGAGTTCTCTTAGTACAAACTTTCAATATTCAGAAAAACAACTAGTTGAAGAAGTAGACAAACTTTGAATAGTTAAACCTAAAGTCTTTAGTATCACATGGGGATGTTAACTAATGTGTGTCACGGCAACCACTGAAATATATAGTAGCGAAATGTTTTTTTTTTTAATTTTAATTTGATTACTGCATTAACTCTTCATTTTGCAAGGAGTTATTTTTAAATTAGGAACTTGCGTTTCTGTACTTTATATTTTCAAAACATAAGAGGTCTCACTTGTAAAATTATGCATTTTAGAATTTAATATTTGTAAAATTTGATAAAGTGTATATATATATATATTTGTTTTAATTAGACACCAACTTGATGGACTCATGTGATACCCCAGTATGGGGTCTAGATGTTTTTTGATTTTGTTTAGGGTACGCGTGTTGTTAAATAGGAATTTGTCATTTACACATGATGTGACGTCCCCTGCTATTTATAATTTTATATATAAAAATTTGCCAGATGAAACCCAAGGTTCAAATTAATATAACACCAAATCCTGGAATTGTGACCTAGCGAACGATAAGAAATGATTTTTTTTGGCCTGTTTGGTTTTATTTGATCTAAATTTTTATCTTAAATAAATTTTTCTTTTAGGAAGAATTTTTGAATTGACTAATTTTTTTTTCTTGTAAGAAAAGATTTAGAACTCTATAAATAGAGGAATGTTGATCAACATTCACAATTAAATCTTAAAGACTTTGAGAGTTTTTGTAAGGTGAGAATTTGTGGGTCACAAACTCGATACGTTATCACTTGTGTAAACCTTCCATGTATTCCTATTCTGAATTGAATTGGTTGAGGTTGTTTCTTTCTCTCATATTTATAATGGATTGCTCATCTCCTTTGTTGACGTAGATCGATTGACCGAACCATGTTAAATTATTATGTCTTTTGATATATCTTTCGTTGTCTTATTACTGATAATCTTTCGAGATTAGTTTTACTATCTTCCACATATTACCTGCATATTTTCGATTGTACCGTGATTGATTTACCTAGAAATCTGTTGTAATTTGTATAATA